TGTCTCCACCTTGAGAGATGTAAAACGACTTTTTTTCCAAATGTATCGAACAGCCACTCAAAAACGCGTACGGTGTTTTGTATTCGGTCAGTCCTCGAGCTAAAATTTGCCTAATTTGAGCTCCGATTGCCGCTTACTCTGGACCTAGCGCAATTAGTGTCCAGCCCAATCCATTGACCAGTAATAGACCGCATGAGGCCGAAGTGGTACCGGCTTTACGTGAATTATTTATAAGCCTAACAAGAAAAAGAGTATATCTATCATCGGTTGTACTTTGCGATGCCGATAAGGGTGAGGTCTGGAACAAATGGCCAAATGAGATAGCTGCATTTTACTCCTCTGTCAGCCAACTACATGTAACTTCTGGTTTTCCCTTTACTTCCTACCAAGCACGGTTTTATTGCCCGTATTCACGCGTTTTGTCTACTTATCATATCCTGTTTTTTCCACCAGTTTTTCCAGTACAATTAAAACATATACGTGGTTAACGAAAATGTAGACTCGTATCTTACTTTGTACCGCAGTAGTAATTCTTATTTGAATTCACCTACGTCTTTGTTCAATGCCATTAAAGCTGTAGAATCAACAATATTATTCATACCCTTAAATTGTGATAGTAATTGGCCTACCAAGGGTTTGAATAATTTTGCTGTTAATTGTACCTATTGTATATTATTGTATTCTTGTTAATTTTCTGTACTGTACACAGTCTCTTCCATAGCCCAACCATTTCTGTAGAACCTGCCAGTCGTTTAGGCAAAATTTAATACAACATTGAAGCCCCGACTGCGACTTGCAATTTCTGTAGAACTTGTCAGTCGTTTAGGAAAAAATTTAGTATACGATTGAACCATATTGATATACTTATATGATATAAAGGAGATGCTGACCATTAGGAAAGGCCAATGCTTACTAATAGGTGGCAATCACTAAATGACTTGGAGCCTGTCATAACAGTGTCATTGGAGTTTATTCAGCGTTGTTCCATGATGGCTGAGTGGCCTGGAAAGACAACACGGTCTGCACTTTTGAAAGGAAGCGTTACAGTTTCTATATGTACGACATTTTACAGTGCAACTAACGGACTGTGCCTCAAGCATCTGAATACGGTGAACATCAGTGATATATATCTGGCTGCAGTTCCACATGCATATACAAATGCATTTGAATGTTGGTAATGTATGACACAACGCTATGACTACAATACTACACATTGAAAAGAATGTCTCTTGGCAGTATTGTAGAGCAACGAATCTGTGTATCTCGACATGGTAACCGGTATAGAATACATGACGCTCTTCGCGTTGTCGTGGATTGTAAATTATTCTTAATAGCTCCTCCGCTCTGTGTGGTTCAGCAACAAAAAATCTATGTTTTAATTGATTATAACGCGTTCATACAAACCATCTATACCCAAACTTATATTTTACTTAAAAGTCGAGGAGGTGAACCTGTAGTTCATCCTAGTACAAGGCACAAGTTACCTCGAAGGTGATTCTCTACTTATCCGTTATTATACATTTCTAATCCTCATCTTTTATGTGCTGATATTTCATGCAATAATATCATAACAAGCTTCTTGAACTGACCATGCTCCTTATTCTGTATCTGTATCGATATAACCGGTATAACCGCCCTTTGGCATAACACATCAGCTTCACAGACACGCGGCGCGGCGGCAGCTGGCTACATTACACCGAATGACTTGTTACACTTAACCCTTAAACATCTAACTCTAAACGTTGTTTAAAGCTATCTGGTGATACTGTACTTGGTGACAGCGAGTTCCACTCTGCGATAGTTCTAGGAAAGAATGAATTCTTGAACACCTCAATCATTGGTGGATAACTCTGGTACTTGAAGGCATACTATTTCTTGTTCTTTTCTGAACCGGTATTAGGTACTTAGTAGTTGGTACGTTCACCAGTTTATTAGTCAATTTGTACATCATGCATAGTCTGGACATTTTTCGACTGTCTTCCAGTGACCCCCACTGTAGGTTTCTTTTCATTTCCGTTACACTAGGACCACTTTCATAGTTTTTTTAATTGCAGAATCATGCATTTGGTCCCATTGACCTTGAACTACACGCTACCACCTCCATCGACAGGCTTGCTTGAACGTCCCCCCTTGAACTTGAAATGCACCCATTCCAGAGCAGAGACCAGAATGGCGATCGCTATCCCGATCATGAGATAGTAGAAAATTCCATCCAACTGCTCCATACCCATAACCCCATCATTTGTGGAGCCTGTGAAACATTTATACTTCTTCTTGTTAAACCACCTGTGAAGGGATGAGAAAAGCGGAGGTAACAAAAAATCTTCTGACGGATATTTTTAAGGGCAACATTGGAAGTAAATCTAACTACACTGTCGAGAGTAACAACCATTTGTGTAGTAAATATGAGTGTTTGTAATCTCCAAGCAGATCCCTTTCGGTGGCGAAACAGTATCCATTAGCCAGAGAAGGTCGCCGGCCACCGACGGGGGGTACCGACAAAAAAGGGCCATATATAAAAAGCTACCGATCATTTCCCCACAACCTCTGCTTGGAGAGTATGTGTTTATAGTAGTACGTAATTTGGCCACTTTGGGCTGGATTGCCGCGTATTTAAATTTCTGTGGGAATATGATGTTTACATTAGCATGCCGGGATATATATCACGTGAGCATTGTCTGCCATATTGGATGGTTACAGAACCCAGAAGTTGCCAGGAGAAATTTACGTTGGCACATGTAAATATGAGAATTTTCAGGTCTGGGTCTTTTGGGTTCAACCAGTCAGCGTGCAGAATGTGACGTCACCAACAAACGCCATAAGCCTTGATTTACTTCATTTTGTTCTTAACCTTGTATCAACATATAATCACCTGTTCCCAAGTGTGTCCATATTCCCGGCTTCTACCATGTCCATCAGGGCCAGGTTAATCTCCGTCCGGTAAGGCGAACCGAGCCGAAACGGAAGGGCGACCTGATACTTGTAGAAGTACTCTTCAGTGAGGATGACCATGTCACACCTCTTGTTGAGAATCTCGTACTCGTAGGATGTGGGTGAGATGAAGATGAAGTCACCCTTAGCGGCGCGCTCAAATGCATCACGGGAACGGTTCACGAGAACCTCATCTGCAGAGGACACGAAGCAACATTTTTTTGTCCAAAATTGTTCTTCTTTAAAGATCAATTCCATATTAAATAAGCATAATATAGTATTGATACCTGAATTCTTGTCTATATATCGCCCAAGAGTCTTAAACGGCTCCTCCTGAGCCTTCTTTAAGAACTTGTAAAAGCTGTATCCCTTGTAGGTTCCGTACGGCACGTCTGTCTGCCCAGCCAGGTCAGACAGACTCCTGATGGTCCGGTCTACGGAAGGCTGGGACAGGAAGGCAGCCAAGTTGGCTGGAAAAGAACAACACTATAAGTTAGTACATCCAAGAAATATCACTTCTACTGTCTCATCTGACACTCGCTACTCCCTATAGCACAAACTACTTTCCTATTTAAAACTACGTATTACCAACGTGTAGTTTACATATCTACATGAGCATGCATTAGAATGTTGGCTTTATATATAATTCCTTATTTGCTATGGCTTACCAGTGTAAGACGCGACGATGACCAGTATCAAGAACCACCAGGCACCGGTCATAACTCTTCCCGCGAAAGATCGAGGTAGAAACTCCTGCCCCTGACACACAGCCGCTCCAAAGGTAGACCTGTAGAAAAACAAAATACATTCTGCACAAGGCGGCCTTTTATCTCAGACTGGATTGGGAATGACGCAAGCATGAATTGAAGGAGGTATCCCTCCTGCAGGAGTATTGTGGACAGTCGGTTTTTCACGTTCGCAGCTAAAACACACGGTTTCCTTTGTTTGATGGGCATGTGATTTTATACGTCGTCTGTTGTTAAGTATGGGGGCTGTTTTGAAATGTGTTTGCAGCTTAAAGTCATGATGGTTCTCTTCGTTGTATTTGTAATCTGCTGTTTCGAACGTGCTCAACTTACCAGAGACTATTGGCGAGGCTAAGGTTGTCCGCCTCCTCTGCCGACACCTCTCCCCGCCCGGCTGCTCGAGCCCACTCGTACGGGTTCAGACGGCCGTTTGCCGCCAAGACAAGACTCACTCCCACAGCGGCGGCCACATAGCAGAGCCAAACCTGTAATCAATACATGTGGACAATGATTATTGATTGTGGAGATAAAATGACTGCTACCAGTTGTGAATCTCAAAACTAAGAGAATGACCTGTACAACTGGCGGGATGTGTGAAAACGTTTTGGCACGCACCTCCATAGAAAATGGTCCCATGAACTGAAAGATACCGCGACCGTCACTGCGATTTGGCTTCTTCATGGTCAGGAAGTAACCACGTGTCCGTAATGGGACGGAATACTCGATTGTTCGATGTCCTGCAGGGCGCACGGCTGTGGCAACCAACACCAGGTCATACTGTGGGCATGGAGAAGTGGAGAAGACCGGTCAGTCTTGCAGCCAACACCTTATTATAGCAAAACGGACTTCATGGCGGCACAAAGCCAAATTATAGTAAGTGTGTTATAACTTACAATGTAAGTTATTTATAATTCTTATTTTGTAAGTATACAACTATACAACACAAACTTTACACGCTGCAATTAGTCCTGCTGCCAAGGAAGTCTGCATTTTACACTTCACCAAGGACAAGGAGAAATAAACATGCATTAGATGTCTTGCTCATATTTTTTGAGGATACCATTGCCCCGTACAAGATACACCTGTGAGCAAAATAAATAGTGAGGGTCCACCTTCTTAGCTGCTGCTAAGGTCGCGGTCGTCGTCCGACGGCCAACCGTGAGGTCCCACGTGAAGTTTAGTCGTGAAGCCAACATCTCCAGCACGTCCATCAGATAGCCGTGATACAGAGCCGAGCCAACCTTGCCACTTTTTCCTGGCTTCTTCATGACGAATGGATTGCTCTGTGGAGCAAGGTGGATTCAACATAACTAGTGACGGAATCAGTACAAAGGGATCAACTTGAGCAACAGTTGATACCCTAACCTTGAAGTTGGTCCTGAAAGAAAGAAGTGAATTTTAGAAAAAAAGATAAAGACATATATTACCAGAGCAGTGTAGACTTGGAGATGCCGTCCCGAGAGTAGGTGAGGGTAGAGGGGCTTCTGCCATCCTGACTGGACACTAGCCATGCCTTCTGCAGTCCAGTTGCCTACCTGCAGACAGAGATGTTATATGTACATTCCAGTCGTAGTCAGCCAGCCAATACAAAATACAATCTTCCATCTATAAGTGTGTGTGCTTCTTTATTTACTAAACAAAGGGGATGGGAGACAAAACACCCATGCATGCTAGTTGTCTCCCTAGCAAACCCGTGTTTGTGTGTGTTTCCTCAACTATTCCCCAACCTTCTCAGAAGGAAGCTCCCTGTATTGATGACAATTTTACTCAACTCAAAGTAAGTGATGTTGCTCACCTGCGTCGATTCCCCTTGAAGATACTCATCGACGAAGACCGTCACGTTCTTCCTCTTCCCACAGCTGTCAAAGGACACGTGCCCGCTGAATCCTGGGAAGCTTTCCTGTAAAATCATAGGGAGTCGTTAGAACTCAGTCTGTTCAGCTGACATGCTATATTTTCTCCAACTACATAACACCTCCTGTGTCTCTTTTCAAGCGACTGTTCCATATGTAGCAATGTGCTTTAGGAAACAGTCTCCTGTGACAGGAATTCATAATACACAGACCACAACTGTTGTTGATTACACCTGAATAGTGAGTGTCTGAGAACACAGTTGTAGCAGGCATGTCACAGAGTACAGACGTCTTCCATAGTCTCCTATTCATAGTATCCCACCGCTGCCACCACTGTAGGATACTATGAATAGAAGACTATGGAAGACCTCTAACGTTATACTCTGTGACTGCCTGTTATTGAGAACAGAATTTGTAGCTCTATAAACTCTTCATTAGCTAATGGTTTGTTCATGTTACATCCCATATTGTACTTTTTCATGATTTATATATATATCTAGATCATGAGATAAGGAGGAGCAGTCCAACAGTGCTTACCTCGGATATGGAGTCTCTCATCCCTGAGCGACAGGTCTGCCCTCTCGGGGCCAGGTCCGAATCCTTCCCGTCCGAGCTACGGGAAAATCCCGTGACCAGGTCCGGAGACAGGCTGCTCACGACCCTGACTGCATCTAAAGCCAGCCGCATCCTGAAAGGCAGCTGTCCGTCAGGCAAGTCTCGTCCCCAGGGCGGATCTGTCTGAGGGAAGGGGCGGAGCAGCGTCAGGAGTGCTCCACTGCTCCGGGCGCTCTGCAGGTCACTCTCTCGGACATCCTGTTGAAATAGGGAAGACAGCTGACTTTCCTAGACAATTTTGGGCATCCAGAAGACGCCGACCAATCAGATGGCTCCATTTTCCATTGGTTATCAGACCGTAACCTCAAAAGTGGTCGGTTATTAGAATAACCGACCACTTTTGGACCGTACCGGTTTATTTGGTGGTTATGGCACCATATACACCTAAGGGTGGGGCATTCCCTTCAATACAATACAATGCAATACAATGCAATACAATCAGGCTTTGCAATTTCTGCCAGGGGCACTGTGGTAGCTTTCATGCTGACTTTGGATCCAAATGGAAGAAACCTGGAATTGGAAGATGATCGAAGACCATTCCATCCCACCCCAGGGTGCCCTTATGTTAACTTACGAAGCTTGTCACGATCCAGTGGCTCTGCGATGTAAGCAGCAGCATGTCAGCAGCCTGTTGGAGAAAAAGGACGACACGAGTTTTGGTAAGTTTCTAGCAGTTGACATGTAGGTCTAGTAAAATCTGGTAGGTTAAACAGACAGTAATGATATTTAAAGTTAAAACTTTTGATCCAACACATGTGTACAAAGAAGTTCTCTCACCCAGAGCTTTCGACCAGACACTCTGGTCTTCAGAAGTAGACTGACCCAGTGAGGCTTGTCACGTGACTTCTTTGAAGTGTGACGTCAACCAGCACGTCGGCAGAACGTACTGCGCCTGCGCAGAACCCTGGATTTTCGCGTTTTTAGTTGGATTTTTGGTCAACGTTGCATCAGAATTTTCACTGTTGCAGAGGATATCTTTTCTGACACAACATTTGGAAACTACTGTCGAAATGCTAACCTTATATGAGCGAATACAACCTTATGCATTCTGCTGAAGTGCTATGCACAATACATTACGGGTTTCGCGCAGGTGCAGTACGTTCTGCCGACGTGCTACGTCAACCCTGGGTGACTGGTCGAAAGCTCTAGGTGAGAGGACTTCTTTGTGGATCAAATGTTTTAACTTTAAACATGTAACTACCAACACAGATAAACTTTTATGGTAGACAGTAATGACTTTGGATGATTTGTATGATTCAAATCAGAGAGAAAATGAAAGCATCTAAATTTCTGACCTTGTCCAGAATGATCCCCACAACATCATCGCTTGTCATCACCACCACATGCTCCCGCCCGGCACTGATGACGTCAGACAACACGGCGTCCAGGGCGTCATCGTCTTTCTTCGTAACCATGGCAACTGGAACTTCCTTGGCCCACAGGCTAAATCTACGAATGGCCGCTTCGTTGAGTAGGGCTTCAAACGAACGGTAGAACTCTACAGAATGGTACAAAAGTCCTAAGCTTAATTGTAAGTCCACCACCACCTCCATACCAATAGTTTAAGGGCCCTTAAACAAAACAAGTACTTGAAAGAAAGATAGAAATGTAACAAGTGCAAAGAAAATGCATAATGTTCACTCTCTCATATTATCTCCCCTGTTAACTCTTACTCAAACACATTCGTATGTATGGTGACAGGAGTTTAAATAAAATTGCAACATGATGTAACCCAACACTAGTTACCATGGTGACAGACATCTGGTTCAGGTCATTGACCCTATTTTTTGGACATGAAGAAGAGGAAGAAGAAACAGAGCAAAAACAATATGTTTCCTTCTGCGAATTCGAAGGTAAACATAATAATGCTCACTCACCTGACCGCTTGTTGTACACCATATAGGTCTCCCTCCAGCCCAGGGCCTCCATGACGTCAAACAACATGGTTGCCAGTTGCTTTGGGGACGGGAACATGTCCAGTACCCTGGAGCGGAGAGCTGGTGTTTCCGGATCCGGTTGGTACATGCGCACAACCAGTGGAGCCGGTTGTGGTCCGTGTGTAAGTCCGCAGGTACAGGGGGTGGGGAGGGGGGTCATCAGGATCACGGCGTGGAGGGGGTCCTGGGCACCAACTGGGGAGTGGAAACTGATAAGTAAACTGGAAAGGCCGACATTTGCTTTATAGCAAATGCGCATATGGTTTTGACCACATTATACGACATGGCAGGGAAAGAAGGAGAACCAATGCTTTACATTGATATAACTACAGTATGAAGTGACATATAACTAAGAATACAAAAGTTGGGTAACTATATCCCCTACATAATTGGTTAAGATTTTTTATTTGCATAATGCAAAGTGTTGATTTTCAAATTTCTAAATAAATCCTACATTTCAGGTTCACAAGGACAGGGACAAGGAAATATTGTTGCACCGTGCGTTCAGCACCAAGGACAGGCACTATGCTAATCTGTATTAGTTAACTTCGGCCGAAATCTACAACATAAAGAGGTTCCTCACCTAAAAGGTAAACTATATCTATCTTCCTACATATAAATACACAGATAGAGATAGGTTATGGCGCACTAACGTCCACCCACCTCGGCGCAGAGAACACTGTGTTGAGCGGGCGTCAAGCTGAATATTAGTCAACGTCAGGTCCTTGCTGCTGTTCAGGCCTCGGGCGCTAGATGTCATTGCAACAAGGACATCCTTTTCGCCACCGTCGTGAACAACACCTAAAACCAGTCAGCGAAGTTGCAAGTCAGAGTATGTCAGAAGAAATGAACGATCCAGGTACTTACAAAAAAAACAGTCAAATACTAGAAAGGTAACATTTGCAAATGCATAATGTTTACATTCGCATATGGTCTGATCTGTTAATTCCCACTCGAACACCTTCATATATATGGTCAGACAGGAGTCTAAATACCTCCTGCTATAAAATAATGTAACTTAACACTAGTTACCATGGTAACAGACAGTCTGGTTCAGGTCACTGACCTTTTTGGTTTGGAGAAGAAGACGAAATGTAGCAAAAACAATGCGTTTTCCTTCGGTAAACATAAAAATGCACAAGCACACAGAAAATTATCGAATTATGCCACTGAACATATACGCCTCCCAAGTCTAAACATTGTCCCTATACGCGTAACTTACACAATTACACTACAGTAGTAATCTTTGTATGAATCATATGTATTTGATTAATGTATACCCGTCACTTCGATCTTACGTCACTTACGTTAAGCCTGAAATGGCGAAAGCTAAGGTTGAATCATAAAATACGGCCAGCCTTTTTAACAATAGCATTTGAGCAAGAGGCAAACGTCAAAGTTGTAAGAAAATTTTACCCACCGACGTTTAGCTTGGTTCCGTCCCCATGACATCCACAGAGTATTGTCAGGAGGGTGAAAACCAACAATCCACTTTGACAAGTCATTGCTACCCCTCTACTTCAGCCGTGGCAACCGCCTTTGGGCCTTGTCGAAACTGTAGCCCTCTGTCATGGCTACTGTTTTATACTACAAATATCTTGTCTTGACATACATGAGCCATGCATGGGTGACACCTTATCGTAGATATCTCACAATGATGACACTAATCCAAGACAATACCACTCAAAAATCGATTCTTACCATTCATTAGTTCACTTTGAAGCAGTCCCTGTCTATGTCCTACGTACGGATTTGACAGCAATTGCGGAAAAGCTTTCAGGGAATGGAGATATAATCTTTTTAAAGATTATAGGTGAGCTGATTATAGGTGTTGAGTTACTTTAGATAAAGTGGCGATGCCACGAAAGTTGGACTGGAAGATCTCTGCGTGTCATCCATCCAACTTTTGTTTATGGATCACTGTTCCTGAACGTTAACAACATGTTCCTGATCAACATGATAATGACTAAGAAACTGGTGGACGTCCCAATTACAAAGTACCTAATACCAGCCCAGAAGAGCCTTGAAGTGCCAGAGTTATCAAATAAGGATTGAGGTGTTCAAGAATTCATTCTTTCCTAGAAGTATCGCAGAGTGTAACTCGCTGTCACCAAGTACAGTAGGGGCATTGTCATTAGATAGCTTTAAACAATGTCTAGAGTTAGACGTTTAAGGGTTAGGTGTAACAAATCGATCGGTGTAATGTAGCCAGCTGCCGCCGCGCCGCGTGCATGCGAAGCTAGTGTGTTACAGCGAAAGGCGGTTATACAAGCTATACAGATACAGAACACAACACTTTGCTCTTTATGTATTCCTACAAAAATTTTGGAGAAGTCTTTCATTCGAATTCACATGTATTCTACGTTAGTTTTAACATAGTAAGCCGTGGTCAGGGTGTGACGATAACAGCGACGTAGAATGAATGCTTTAGTACGATCATTGGGCAAATGACTAATATATTTACTTGTCACTGTGGCCTACTTTATCAAGTAGTGATCTAGATAATGGTAAATGTGCCATGGGTGTGGGTAATTGCGAGTGAGTGAGTGAGTGAGTGAGTGAGTGAGTGAGTGAGTGAGTGAGTGAGTGAGTGAGTGAGTGAGTGAGTGAGCGAGCGAGCGAGCGAGTGAGTGAGCGAGCGAGGTCTTTGTGGTTTTAATTTTGCACATTTAGCTACTTTTCAGTCGCTGACGAAAAGTAGTAGATGCATTCTATATACTTGATAGCTTTTGAAATCTATCCATTTGCTTGAGCAACAATTTTCTTGTGTATCTCATTACCTGGATGTCTAACCTTCATGGACGTATCGTATATACATGTACATTTAGCGTGTTTGATGCTGTGATCGTAACAGTCATTACTTGTTTATTTATCAATTTTATTTATTACAACATTTAATGACAAAACAAGACGACGACATACATGTACTCAAGCTCATGGCTTATGTTCGTGTCGTCATCAAAACAAAGAACATTACATGTACAAAAACATATCAACATCAAATACAGACATGCAAAGCATAAGGATAACAGAGTAAAATAAGGTCAAACGAAAAATTACTGTGATCATCTGAAATATAATTATTAGTTATTTATTTGTTCTTTGAAAAACAAAATAACAGGCATAGTTCTGTTGGGTGCTACGTCACAGACGTATGTTGCTGGTGAAAAGCTATAATTACACATTCTGGCCGCGGCCAGACTAGATGGGGTCACTGGAGGTTAGTCCTGGGAATATGGGTCAACATTACGTTAGCGCCTCACAACTCAACAACTATAATTTATGCCGTCGTTAATATCAAATGTCTATTTACATGGATGCATTTATACTTGTAATTCCGGTTGTATATGTGAGTTTATATTGAGTAGAAGAAAAGCTCCCTTGGCTTTTTTTCTCCAGTGATACAGTCGCTAGCATATATAGGAACGTTCCTAGGATAACTTATTGTCAGTTTGAGGTTGACAAGAGGTGAGATTTGGAGAGGGAGGTGCATTCAGCAGAAGTTGTTCGCAGCTCTTTTCTGAACCACGTGGCGTTAGTGTTGTGTATCGAGTCACCTGTATGATCTGTACCTGTGTGTGAATTGTCAGCGGACGAACTAGTCCCGACTAGCGCGACCTGCACTTCCTACTACACATCCCAGTCCCCTGACACACGATACAGCTGAGGACTATATTTATAATGTGATATGCAGCGCACGGGTCCCAGACGTGGCAGGAATTGAAAGTATTGCCGGGGCCAGGTTTAGTCCAGACACCCGGGGGGAGCGGCGGTGGACTCCGATGATCATCTATAAACTCGTCTGAGGTTTGGTGTAGAACACTGTAGGTAAGCATTCTCTCCAGGTGCATGTAGGTAGGGGGCGCAGGTAGCACGCAGCGCGGGTAGGGGGCGTGTTTCATAGGGAAGACAAGTTATGATCGACCCGGTAGAAGCTGCAGTCTGGAGCATGTATTACGGTCAGACTGCCGACTCGGTAAATCTAATCCAGCCACAACACGGTATATTGTTTAGGTTGTAGAATTGCTTAGAAAGCTGTAAAGGTGTTTTTGCTTTGGATAACTATCGTTCAGTTAGGTAGCAACAGCACTACAAGGTATAGCTGTCAGTTTGGCCGTGTGTAAACATCAGTTTTTAAAACCACTACCGTTGGCGATATTCTACCCCAAACGGTCATGGACGGACATTCTTGTGGACCCTATTGCAAATGCGCATGTCATCTTGGCTATTTCTGTGCGAATTTTCAAGTCAACTCACAGAATTCAGAAAAACATTTGGTGATCATGAAAGTGTTGCTTTAAGAGGACGTGTAGAAAACATAAGGAGAACGCGTGCGCACGGGCTTGAAGCCCGTTGAACTGTAAGACCCCCTTGCCTTGTGACTTTACAAAAGGATAGGTCCTACTTAAACTCCCCCCCTCCCGCTTCCTACAATAGAGAGGTTGAGTGCGACGTGACAAACTTGTTTGTTTGTCGCCATGTCTGCCAGTCGTCGCTGGTTTGAACCGGAATCCCGGACATACGAAGCCGTAGCTTCACGCACAGATAGCTAATTCTGAAGACTAGCCCTTGCCTCCTTGCTGTTTAAATACGTAATCTATGAGAGCTCTAGATCTGTAGATGTTCTGTGAAACATTGAGAGTAATTTTGTGTAAAACACGTTCGCACGGAGAGCCTATTGACGCCCTGGCAGCGCCAGAGGTCGGTTCTCTTGGCATGTGTCCCAGGACCACCCGTTCGTCACTCTGCCTCTATACCTCACAAACTCAGCTGACAGGGCGGTCAGTAGCCTCTACCAGGCGTCGGGAGGCGGCTGGAAATAGTACAAAGTGGCCCAATAGCAGAGAGATAACATGCCGAGGGAGTTGGTCCGCTAGAGAGTACATTTTGCCGCACCAGGCATGTCATCTCTCTATTGGGCCATGCATTTTCTACTCTTTCCAGCCGCCTCCCGAAGCCTGGTAGAGGCTAGCGCGGCTAGAGCTATGTGGCAATAGCGATGTTGAAGACACGTGACTGTAACGTGTATTTTTATTATCTTACATTCTGCAGCAAATTTGGAACTTGTTGAAAGTAGGGTATGTAAACGTAAAAGTCTATTTGTCAGTCAAAGGAACGCATATATTAAGGTATGATTATTTCGAGATAAATTCGACTTTTGCACAATAGCTATAGGTTTAAACTTGAAAGACAAATCGAATGTGACGTATCAAAGTTCATATGCATCTTCACATCCTCACATCCTCTGCTCTTTTTGTTTGTTCGTACAGGAGAGCCACCTAGCGGAACAATGAATAAGTTGTTGTGGAAGTGCCTGGCGTTACTGGCGCTGTTAGCAGTAGGTAAGGGATCAATGAACTCTGCATGTGTAGTGTGTCTTCGCGCCATGATTAGCACATTCAATAACTTGTCCATATTAGTACGCTGTACATGCCTGCGCTACACTAGGACGAGTGAACACAACAGCGTTCGTTAACTACTATGACGTTCTTTATGATTCAGTTGAAGTAATGTAAGACCATGTAAGAGAACTTTGCCTACAAATTATCGGGATTTATACTATTTCCATTCGATCAGTCATATACACCACAACTACAAACGCCATATTTCTGTGCTTATTCTACATATACCAAGCACTACAATAACGCCACTTCTGTTTAATTGCCTTAATATTCCTTTCCTAACAGGATCTGCTGATCACCACCAGGGAGAAGAAGATGACGGTTACGAAGGTAAGGTTATCTTTTAGAAATGTTGATTTTATATTGGCATATATTACGTTTCTGCTTTCAACAACTCTTATAAAATGATTGTAAAATGAACGCAAAAGGTGCAATTAATGGAAGAACGACACAGTTTTGAGAGTGTTGACAACCATATTTTATCTATTCAATCGCCTTTTGTGTTTAGAAGAGGGAGATCAGGAGACGCCCGACGATGATGACGAGGGAGAAGATGAGGAAGATGGGGAGGATGGTGACGAAGAGGATGATGGGGACGACGATGGGGGCGCAGGGAATGGGGTAGAGGAGGATGATGGGGATGAAGAAGATGATGGGGATGAGGATGAAACAGATGAGGGGGATGAAGAAGAAGAAGATGATGAAGTAGAGGAGGATGAAATGCCCACCGGTATCCCGAACCTTGAGGCGGAAGACGATGTCGGCGTCACGCAGGAGACGGGAACAGCCGGGCCCGACACTACGGATGACGACGGCGCCGTAACGAAAGCAGGGAAGCGTTCCCACGCTGCCAAGGGTGCCACAAGCAGCCTCATCCTGCACCTATCGCCTTTGCTGCTGCTCCTGCTTTCCCAATAGATAACTCAGCTGCGCCTCCTACTGGTATTAGGACAAAGTGCAGCCGGAGACTGTGTGCCTTACATGCTGCAAGCAAACAGTTTGAAACCTGATATACTGCAGATATTCTTGTGGTGATGACGGCTGAGGGATCATGACTCTGGCTGTGGAGTATGACATGGTGCTATCGTTCAGTTGCGCCACCTGGTGGAAACATTGAGCATTGCATCACGGATACATTGAAACAGCCTGACGAAAATCAAAAGCACAGTACATGTCATTAGCACCTTAAATGTTTTCCAGAAGCACGTGTTTCAACTTCTTAGGAAGCATCAGATTATACAGAAAGATGTACGTACTCATTTGTAAAGAAAGTAGCAAAACAACAAAACTTTCTCGACTTTTGTAAAGTAATATGTGTTGGATCTCTCTGGCGTTCACAAATGTGACAAAAGTGGTTATTATTATTAGGGCTGTTACGAGAATTGTGCAATATAAATGTAAATGATATGCATGAGAATACTAACAGTATATGGTGTTTCCTCAGTATATGGCGGGGAATAGACCGAAGATGTCATTCTGAACACAACAATGCTAGGAAAGGAAACTGTCCATTGTTTGTTGCTCTCCCTGTATATGTAGAAGCAAATTTCTTGCATTGTACCCTGAATCACCAACATGGCAAGCGCCCATTGGTCAGACCCTGGCTAGAAGGCCCAATCAGCCTGACACTAAGAGATTGTGTAACACAGGCTAGACTGACATGTGTCGTATGATGGCAAACAACCTTTAGGACTAGTCTACGCGCTTCTGGGTGTATAAAAACAGAATAGACGGATTCCCAGCCTGTGAATAGAAGTCCCGCAGCCTGACGCCAATTGTACAGAATGTACTCTAGTAGATGTTTCCTAAATGTCAATTAAAAGGGAACACGTTTCTCTCTATATCTCTCTCTGTCTCTTACTGTGCCTTATGCCCTTAGGCTACAGCAAGTAATTTTATAAATGTCATCAGCGCGCGCATTAATTTTCGCCTGATTTTTGAAAAAAAAACAACAGAAATTTTGTTGCCTTCTGACAGTGGTCAACATGACGAAAATGGGCTAAGATGTCTGTTGCCATGCCGGAACGTGAATGGCAGATAACTATGAAGACAGGAGACAAGAAAAGACTCTAATTCAATGTTATGCTTTTTACTTTGATGCAGTGATATGTGATGCTGGCTGTGTATATGTGATGTTCTCACTGCATCAAAATCATTTGTACAATGATTGAGTCAAAATTCAAGAATGTAGGAACATTGTTTTTTCGGCCCGCCTTTTTTTCTTGCCCGCTCGCATTAGATTTGGAATCTGTGAAGGATGTCATCCATAAAATTTACTTGCTGTGCCCTTATGGTACACGAACAATGATCAATAACAAAGAGTCAACTGTTGTCATTGGCAGTTTATATAGCATCATGTCTTCTTTACTGAAAGCTCTATATACAGCATAATCTATGTATAAACGGTGAAGTATACATGTACATGTACATCCTCTACAGCAGTCGTAGGCAAGACATTCAGTACAAGTAGCTGCTCTATAGTATAGTTCCTCCACTCTGAAGTGTATAATACATATTCGTACATGCTATGTATATTCCATGGATAAATTTGCATTTTCATACATACAAGACATTTTTTTGTGTACTTCATATACTCAGTTTTAACTACAAGCTGTATAAAAGTGTGAATCTTTTGGGTCCAGTAGTTAGGTGGTATCCAAATGTGTTTAACTTATTTTCACCACGTTGACCTAGATTATAGGTAATGCTGTTTTGTTATTTTTTTAGTTTCTTTTGAAACAGCTGTTTTACCTTGTTACAGGAGAGCACTGGGCAGCACACACAGACATGTACACTGTTGTAGGACAGAAGTCTACAGTACAATGTAAACCTGGGTACAACAAGGAGCCTACATTTGTTCTCTGACAAGTACGTCGGCAGAACATACTGTGCCTGCGCGAAACCCTGATTTTTCATGGTTTTTGTTTTCACGATTTTTGGTCAATTTTGCCTGTGGCAGAAGACATCTTCTCTGACAGAACATTTGGAAACTACTAACAGACGGGATGTATATACCTTATATACGTGAATATCACCTTATGTAAGACATTCTGCCGAAGTGCTATGCAGAATACATCACAGCTTTTGCACAGGTGCAGTACGTTCTGCCGATGTGCTTGTCTGACAGCAATCTTCTTCACATGACATGTCCTGATAATACTGAGATAACAATAGGCTGAACAAAGTGATACACAGCTGTTACTTATATAACCAACTTACAGGTAGGGACAACATGGCCTGAGTACCAAGCAATATAAGACAGTATACTATGAACTACCACTGTTGAAGACTGAAGATGTACCTCTCACCATTCAGTTAACTTTTTTCCTGCTGCCTAACCTCATAACCTAACAACTTTTGTGCAAAGAAAGGTTGCCACAGTAGTTAGGAGGTTAAATTTGAAGTGTTTAACAAGCCGCCTGGTTTGGTGCTCTTGCCAAAAAAGGCTGGAGGGTCCCATAACCCTTCTAGACCCTCATCATCAGGTCAGAGTTCAGGAACAGCCAAGGTCAAAGGTTAGCCTCCTGGTGATAAGGTGTCAGGTCAAAGTTTACTCTGAACAGACAATTTCAGCACCTGTCAGGTCATAGTTCAGGAAAAGCACAGGTCAAAGGTTAGCCTCCAGGTGATGAGGTTAGAGTTCACTCTGAGTAAACAATTTCAGCACCTCACTGTCAGGTCATAGTTCATATGGCACAGCAGGCTGTACAGGGTCAGATGTCAGCACCAGGTCACATTGGGTCAGAGGGTATCTTGTTCACAGTATGCTGTGTGGGGTCAGAGGTCTTCCTTTCCAAAAGAACAAATGTCAGTATGTTTTGTTGTGAAGCACCAGGTTATGTTGAGTCAGAGGTTTGCCTACCAGAAACAGACTGTGCAGGGTGATTGGACTTGCCAGTGATGGGTTGTGTTGAGTTGAAAGTCAGTAAAAGACTGGGTTTTTTAGAGGTTGGTTTGCCAGCAGTAGGGCTCCGGTACCCTTGCCTCTGCATCAGCAGATAACAGCTGAAGGTGGATATGTAGGCTGCCCAGGGTCCCCCCAACACAGGAACCTGCTGATAGACACAAAACACAGCAATGTTCCAACTGTCAGCTACACTGTCAGGCACAGAATAAACAACTTATGATACAGTTGAACTGAGAGGAAAAGACTCAATAAGGTCAGAAGCAAATTAAAGGAGTGCTTTTTTTGAGCATTCTCAAGTAGGTCCTAAGTCACACATTCTACTGCCAAACCATGGATAAGCAAATTGTAAGGCGATACACAAAGAATACTAATTACAGAGAGGAACCTTGGAATAACAGTGAAAGGAAAGTGGGAGAAAGGTCAAAAGGGGTATGAAATACAACAGGAAACCTATGGGCTGGAATGGAATACAAAAAAGAAAGGTAACATTTGCAAAGCAAATGCATGATGTTTACCTTCGTATATGGTCAGACTCTGCTCATATGGTCATAAAGGAGTCTAATCCCTCCTGCTATAAAATTGCAACATGTTGTAACCCAACACTAGTTACCACGGTGACAGACGTCTGGTTCAGGTCATTGACCTTATTTGTTTGGAGAAGAAGAGGATAAAGAAACAGAGCAAAACAATATGTTTTCCCTCTGTAAACATAAAAATCAGTGACTTCAAGTTCACTACAGAAATTTGTCGAACCTTGGGAAGTAAAAGACAAGGCTGAGAAAGTACTCACTGTCATTGTTGTTTGCAGGAGCTGATTTTGCGAACCTTGCTGAATCGAGACTTGCTGCCTATGGAGGAAGTGCTGGCTGTGGTGGGTTGACCGTGCTGTATGGACGTACTGGACTTGTCATCAGGCTCCAGGGCAGCATCCTCCTGGCAAGCTTGTCCTACAACATGGATGAGAATTGTTAATGACATAGCAAAAATTATACACGTACCCATGATACAAAATAATCTTGACCAATGGCTTCCCTGTATGGTTGATTAGCATATTTCCTGCCCAATGGATCCCTGTATGGTTAATTAGCATACATGTAGCTCCTATCTAAGGGCCCAATGGCATCTCAGCATGGTTAATTAGCATATTTCCTGCCCAATGGATCCCTGTATGGTTAATTAGTATACATGTAGCTCCTATCTAAGGGCCTAATGGCATCTTTGCATGGTTAATTAGCATATATCCTGCCCAATGGCATCTCAGCATGGTAATTAGCACATCTCCTGCCCAATCACTACCCAGAAGGGTCAATTAGCATATCTCCTGCGAAATAGCTTTTTAGCATGGTTAATTAGCGAATCCCCTGCCCAGTGGCTACCCTGTATGGTTAATTAGTATATCTCCTATCCAATGGCATCTCAGCATGGTTAATTAGCATATCTCCTGCCCAGTGACTACCAAGAAAGGTTAATTAGCACATCTGCCCAATGGCATCTCAGCATGGTTAATTAGCATATCTCCTGCCCAATGACTACCAAGAAAGGTTAATTAGCACATCTCCTGCCCAATGGCATCTCAGCATGGTTAATTAGCATATCTCCTGCCCAATGGCTTCTCAGCATGGTTAATCAGCATATCTCTTATCCAATGGCTGACCTCTCCTGCCAAACCCTGACTGCAGCATGTCCTGTATTGCCCTCTCCTCCTCCTCTTCCTCATCCTCGTAATCCTGGTCTCCATGGAGATCCTCCAAATATGGCACGACCGTCATGCTGCGGGTGGGGTCCTCTGTGTCTGGGAGTGGGGGGAGGGGGGTGGCGGCTTCCGTCCGGGGATGTTTCTTTCTACACCAACTGGAACAAAGGACCAGGAAACATCAGCTAACAATCGCCAGGGAAACAAATGCACAAATTGTTTCCTATTCAGAAGGGACCATGTTCAACATTCTTAAACATTCTACACAGTTATTCATACATTGAATCATGTTGCAAAGGGAACATCTACCTTTAAGGGAACATCTACCTTTACTGTCAGTTTTCAAGAAACGTCCTTCATTTTAAATCAATATCACTGGCAAGTTGTTTAGAAGGAGACTTGTGTCCTGTTGTTAGGAAAGCAAAATTTGTACTTATGTATTTAATATCATTATGGGTTCACCACACCACGAAGTGGTGTGGTGAAACCATATTGCTTTTTCTGATGTTTCTTCTTCTTCTTCTCCTCCTCCTCCTTCTCCTCCTGCCATTTTTTAAATGGATTCAGCTTCTTCATTTTAGGGCCCAAGGTCCTGAAATTTGGTATGGAGGTACAGTGGGCAAATACCCCTAGGCGTTTTTTAAATTATTGTGATACAGGCTTTTAGAATGGTTTTATTTGAGTTTTTTGGCTGTGTTATAGCAAATGTATTACTGTGTTAGGGTGCCTTATTTACCACGTTTGGACATGAGTCATCACAATGGAATGCAGGGCATCAACCAATAGGCATGCAGCTTTCCTCTATACTTCTTGCTGATTGGCTGTTGGGATTTAACTTGATTAACACCTGCACAGAAGCATTTCCATACTGACAGTATGTCTGTATTCAAGTGTTTTGGTAGGTATTTCAAGCTTTCCTGCTCCAGCAGTGGAATGCCGGGCATGGACGTTTTTTTTTTATTTTGAAAATCAACAGTTTGCATTATGCAATTAAAAATCCTAACCAATAAAGTAGGGAATAGCTATCCAACTGTTGTTTTAGTTGTATTTTACTTCATATTATAGTTATATCAATGTAAATCATTGTTTTCCCTTGTGTTTCCCATTCTTTCCCTGCCATGTCGTAAAATGTGGTGAACCCATCGCTGTATTTGCTCCAAAGCAAATATTGGCCTTTCTAGTTTAATATCATTTCTAAGGAGGCAGACTTACTCATGTATTCTACACTGTTGTAAGGTAAACCTCTGCTCTGGTTCATGTTGCAGCATTCCTAAAGGACAGAAAGACATGGGATTCAGATCTCAAGTGGAACATAAATGTATACGAATATACATGAATGCAACTAACAGCACTGGCCACATATGCAGAACATACAAAAGGCCTAGGAAAAAAAAGTTGTTTTCTGTTTTAGTCCTGAAAACAATTACGGTCGGTAGTTAGGGATCATCTTTTTCTTCTTCTTCTTTTTTAGACTAAATACGATCTCTAGTGATCCAACTTATACAGTACAGTTTAAAAATGTACAACTTGCATAAGGACACTTTCATTTTCAATACAGTGCTCACCAACTATTTGCATCACTGATATTGGCATAAACCTGGGATCTGCATAAAATTCTGAAAACCCAAACCATTTCCCATTCACTACATTATAAATTGCATGGCATAATTGCATGAGCTGTTATGACTTTCACCTGATATTGGACTAAAATATTTCCAAGTCAATGGCACACTGACCCAGAAGTACGTGGAAGAAATACATGTAATTTGTTGCGCATCAGCAAATCCGCATGAAGTCCATTGTTATTCATTCATTATCACCCCTGCACCCTCCATTGTCATACACTTTCTCTGTTGTCACTTCCTTCTGGACAGGTGAGAACCCCCAATCACTCAATGATGATTGTGTGAAGAAGTCCTTTGTTCCTTTTTGGTGTCCTTGATTGGGCTGTTGTTTTAGGTTTGGTAAGCTTTTGCCCAACACAGGGGTAGACAATATGAAGGTGGAATGTGTCTGATCTTCTATCTCCATGTTAGCCCTGTTCATTATAAGTTTCTGAATGCGACTTGAAGATTAGAATATGGTACATGTATGTAGTTGTGGGTGAAAGTGAGTATATAAATACCAATAACATCATGTTTGTGGTTGTTTCAATCAAGGAGCTTTCATCATGTGATGAAAGCTCCTTGTTTCAATTGGCCCCAGCCCAGTATCATCCATAACCAACTGACCTCCCCTCCCTGTCGGTCGTGTGGACTCTCCTAAGGTTATTGGACTAAACCTGTTATAGGAATAAAATTCCCTGACAAATCGTCCATGCAAATAACAGGAGAGCACTGTATTGGACAACCAATTGTACGATGTTTCATCACTCAGGTGTCATATAGTAAAGCTAGAAAAGGTCCTAAAGGAGCTAGAAAAATTGTCCTTTCCAGCCTAGGGTCGGCAGTTTTTTCTAGGGTCAGTCGAGAAAAACAACCTTTTTTTTCTAGGCCTAAACATCATGGAAGGTATCCTTCTAAGACAAAGAGCATTGTTCCACCACTGTGTGATATATGAAAGCATGTCAATAGTCGATCTCTTCTCACGAAAACCATACTGGCTGTCACAGAGAAGCTGGTGCCTGTACAAGTGGGCACCCATACCTTGTTAAAGTGCCAAAATCCAACACTCAGCTTCACATGTCTTCATATGTACCAAGGACTAGCAGGCTGTGGAACTCCTTACCAGCCTCGGTCCTCCCTGACAGTCCTAACATGACTAAGTTCAAGACTGCTGTAAACAGTTTCTTGTTGAACTCTTAGAGATTTTCTAATTTATGACAATTAATTATGTACCATGCAATTATGTATTATGTATAATGTATCTGATAATTTTGGGATCGAATGTGCTGTTCACTTAACAGAGGGGAATTGATGTGACATTATATTGAACCGAAAATCATTGATATACGATGTTAAGACCAGGTTCACTTGCATTGATTAGAAAAAAGGGAACAGCAGCATTTTGTCTGAGAAATTCCCTGTCACCTACCTCTAAGTAAGTCTGATAATAGTGGCCCACATTCCTCTGGTATTGTGTACTCCCCCCGACCTATATTCTCAAACAGCTTGTAGATGTTGTCTCCCTCAAACGGATACTTCCCTGTTGTCATGTTGTACCTGAAACAAATAAACAAGTACATGACGTGGTGGAGGATACAACAGCAAATCAACAGACCAACTAGAGAAAGAACATTTGCAAAGCAAATGCATAATGTTTACCTTCGGACATGGTCTGCTCTATTAATTTTTACTCAAACACATTCACATACATGTGCTACCAGTACAAGGTGACAGGAGCAGAGCAGACCATGAAATTGCAACATTATGTAACCCAACACCAGTCACCATGGTGACAGACGTCAACAAATCATGTCATTGGCCAGGTCAGAGGTAAAGTGTTTGGAACAGAAGAGGAGGAAGAAACTGAGTAAAAACAATATGTTTTCCTTCGGTAAACATAATTAAATAAAGCAATGTACACATGTATGACAATGCGGTCATTGTATACTCTGACTGTCACAAGCTCCTTGAAAGACACAAAATTTTGACCTCAGAAAAGAAAATTATATACGCGGGCTATAATTTTGGGTGCAGCATATAAAATAAAACCTAATTACAGATCTTACTGCTCCTCTTCTAAAGAATCTAAGCTTGAATCTGAAATGGAGCTAACTTCAAAATCTTCAAAGTACTACAACAAAGATTATTTTCCTGACATTAAAATGACAAGAATATCCTGTACTATTATAAATTTAATATGTTTAAAAATACCTACAAAATTATTTGGGTGCACCCACAGAAAAAAAAACTGGGTGCACAGCTCCAATTTTTTGTGCACTAAGATGCAGATGCACCCTGAGTACTAGCATTTCGAGCCCTGGTGAATGAATAAATGAGGGCAGAAATGACTGAAGAAAGAACAACAGCTCCAGACTTACAGTGTGACCCCAGCAGACCAGATGTCCACTTTAAACCCTAGAAATGTCTCCAGCCCCAGCGCGATCTCTGGTGGTTGGAAGGCGGGAGAACCTTGGCTTGTCCGACAAACATCGCCGGGGGTGTACAGGTCCAGTTGCTGAGTGACAAAGACGGACAAAAACTTATCACTAATTGCAGCCAGAGGGCCCAAAATTTAATCATTTCTCAGGCCTCAAAATTAACCTTTCTTCCTATTGTCCCAGCACTGTCCCAAAAATTTATTTCAGTTGTCCCGAAGTGAGGATAAACTGTCCCAACCTGTTTTTGGAAAGTATGGTATGACTTTAACTTGAAGCCAACTTTATTTTGCTTATGTTCACTCCCAGGCGCACTATAATTGCAGAGTAGACAGGAAATTCGGGGGATTTTTACGAATCCAAAAGTCGGGACATGTGCCTGATAAACAAAAGAAGAGCTGACAATTTGATGTTGATTATTTTTCTATTGTTCCAAAAATGTCCTAAAGTGTCTTTTTAGTTGTCTCAGCCTAAATTCTAGTGGTCAGTGGCCATTGGACCACCTTTAATTTCAAGCCCTGTTTCTATAGGTCTCATCAAGACCTACCCATCTACCAACTTTCATGACAAAGCATATAAAGCTTCTTGAGTTATGCAGTTCACAGACAAACACTACTGAAAACATAACCTTCTTTGCAAAGGTAAAAAGCGACAATGTACTATTGACACTTTCAACTTTGAACTTTGCCCCCTGACCTCTGCGACCCCCAGGTCGGTGATCTTGAGTGTCCCGTCGGTGGCCAGGAGCAGGTTCCCAGGTTTGATGTCTTTATGGATGATCCCCTGACTGTGCAGGTAACACAAGCCTTCCAGCAACTGGCAGAAATACCTGTGGTACATGTGTAGGGGAAGGGGAGGTTAATATCAATGTATAGATTAGATAGTAAGAATTGGTACAACGATATGATTGAAGACACTGCATCTTCAGTAAGGGGTTTCAAAAATACCTAGAATACAGAGGGGAAATTTGACAAACAGCAACAGGGTTCTCGCCAGGATTTTTTCACAGAATACATGTATGGGTCAGGTACGGAAGGGCAACTTTTGCGGCGCAAGCGCATTGAATGGTTTGGTAATTTCTTCCCAAAAAACTTAGGGGGTCTAAAAGGCCTGGCAAGAACACTGAGCAAGACATAAATGGAGGTTTATGAAAATATTCCATCATCTTGTTATATCATAATTATTATGGTTAGATTTATGTAATTTTCTGGTACATAAACTTACTTGTTGGGCAGCTAAAACTAGGCAGAATGTGTCTAATAAGTGTTAAATCTATGTGTATATTTCTGTACGCCTCGAGTTTTGGACCTCATGTGCTTTTTACCACATGAGGTATAATTGAATGAGGACACTGACAGTGACATCTTCAACTCTGAAGAACTACCAAGACATTTGTTGACTTACTTGCATTTAGGAAGAGAGAAACATGGTCCAATTTGAACCCTTACTCACCCATGGGCTTGCCAGATGGGAAACTTCTTGCCCGGTGCGCTCTCTAACATCTCCTGTAGTCCTCCTACACAGTACTCCATCACTAGGTACGTGTGACTGGTTAAGGTCTAACCTATTAAACACACTCTATACAGTTTTCAAAATCATCACATAATAACACTAGTATAACTATATATAGTACTGGTGAAAATTTTGATACAGTGTATCTGTTCCATATGTAACTGTTCCATGAGCTATAAACTACAATATGTGCAAATGACCTACTTTGGCTACTACAAAGTCCTTTTTAGAAAGGCTCTTAGTGTATTTTGGCACACATTTTGACAGACTAGCCAAAGAGGCTCGGTAGGCGTCACTCCACCGTATAGGGAGGAAAGTCATGTAAAGTGCCTTTCCCAAGGGCACAACATTGGGTCATGCTGAGTATTGAACCCGGGACCTATTGGTTCCGAGTCCAACGCTCTAAGTCTAATAACTGTTGCACCACTAATGCCACTCTACAAAGTCCTGATGGTGAGTAATTGAGCATTGGTGCAGAATGCTGAAGTCAGTGTGTCAAACTGTCTAAAAGATGCATATATATGGGGCAGAGAAGATTGTGTGTGAGTATGCATGAGTTGTGTGTGTTAGGATGATGAACAATCATAATTGGAAGGATATATTTTCTGTTTCTCCTCGTTGTACAGTACGTCCACCAGGTTGATGATGTTCTTATGTCTCAGCTTCCGCAACAGCTGGATTTCTCTGCGAGGGAAAGAAACACAGGATGCATGTAACACATGTGGGTATACAAATGTACAGTAGATATCATGAAAATTTATGTGCGTTGGTAGTTACATGTTAAGTTAGAGTTAAATTAGTCACTTTTTTTGATCCAACACAAAGAAGTTCTCTCCCCTAGAGCTACCAGATACCTTTGACCCGCCAGTGTTGACGTCACACTTCAAAGAGGCCAGGTGACAAGTCTCACTGGGTCAGTCTACTGAGGAAGACCAGTTGAAAGCTCTAGTCTAGGCGAGAAAACTATTCAAAAGTCTTTGTGTTGAAGTCAACTTTATTTCGCTTATGTTCATTCCAGGCACACTATGATTGAAGAGTAGACAGGAAATTGGGGGACTTTTCTGGATCCAAAAGCCAGGACATGTACCTGATACTAGTAAACAAAAGAAGGGCTGACATTCTGATGTTGATTAATTTTCTATTGTCCCCAAAAGGGCCCAAAGTGTCTTTTTAGTTGTCCCAGCCTAAATTTTAGTGGTCTGCGGCCACTGGACCACCTTTTATTTTCGAGCCCTGACATAGATCTAGGTGCATGTGTAAGAATGCTGACAAGTCCTTTCTACCCTCTACATGACCTTTGACATGTGTCACACAGCAGTTATGCCAATACTGCACATGTGAACCCATGGAGCACATCAAATAGTAATAAGAATAACAGATGTAAGACCACCTTTGAACGCCAGTGAACTTGTCCAAAGTGCTTCATGATGCAATGATTGATTGTTTGTCTCACATCATACTTTTTTCACACCTCTAACATTTAAATGTTGTCGGGACATGACATTGCTCAACTACATTTTGTGGTATGTGAAAAATTTCCCCACCATCATTAACTGCCACCCTCACAGTCACAGTAATAGGCCAGGGTTCTCATCAGGATTTTTTTTCTCAGCATAGGTGTCAGGTATAGAAGGGCAACTTTCGCAGTCCCATATACCAAAAAATTTTGAAACTCATAACCCCCTGAGACACTATTTCTCGCTTATTGAGGGACAGATTTTGTGAAGTTAAGGTTTTCCCTTTGCTATACAAGTACTTCATTCTCAAGTTATAATTTCATTTTTGTAAGATTTATGAAGATTCTCCCCCCACCCCCTAAAAAACACCCATATGCTGGTTGAAAGACAGTATAGGGGTCCAACACATAGCATAGGGGGTCCAAATCACAGCATATGGAGCCCATATGCTAAAAAGGCATGGCAAGAACTCTGCTAGAAAATGCCAGGTGGTTGACAAACGATATAAAATACAATCAGTACAAGTACTACAACCAATAAGAGCATAAACTGTACTTAGATTTTCCTAAAGTACATGTAACTTTTCCATGAACTCCCTCCATCCTTCCTTCCTCGACTCCTACCCCCTTCCTTTTCCTTCGTTCCAAGAAAAGGTATGTACTCCATGAACCATGTAATCTATACTTCCTAATGCCTAACCATGTAATCTGTACAAACCTATACTAGTACAAAGCTACTTCAAGAGTGTACATAAAACTATATATATTGTCAAATAATTTCTGAGGCCCCTACCATGTTTTTAATGGTACAGTCTTTATGAGCATACATGTAGCTGTAGGGTAGAATGACCTTCTGTGTTACCAGCCATATGGCTTGTCCCACATACATGCCAGAAAAGAAAGGCTTGTACTGGAGCTACCAATTAAGCATTGCTTTAGCCTTAGGCCCTGTCAAATGCTTCGTGCAATTGGCACCTTAGTAGAATAGAATGGGTAGTAAAATACAAACTTGCCTTTAGGCCACAGCAATTCAATTTGTTGGTTCTCAAATTTTTTCATAAGAAATATGAAGCGACAGGGCGAAAAAAATAAAAAAATTAAAACAGGTCTAGGCATCCTATTACCGGTACTAGTAGTATTATAATTTATAGCCCCAAATGCTACAACAGTAGCCATGAAGTCAACACAAAAGGTTGGGTTAATATTTCAAAAATGAATTTTGAGCTTTTAATCAAACCACTGGATTGATAGATGGAAAAACTGTCACAACTAGGAAGAAAAGGATTTTCCTCAACTGTTGGGGGCAAAATATGAGCATTTTTGAGATGATTCAGAACCAGAATCCGAGAACCAACGAATTAAATTGGTGTGGCCTTATATCCTACTCACAATAGGTGTTACATCCTGCAAATACATGTATATCTCATTGTAAGCCAAACATTATGAGTGTATAAATCATAGCTGCCTTTCTGTTTCCTTACAATGCAAGTTTACAAAAGACAACCAAATTCATGAATGAATGACGAACTATTGTGACTAGTCATGGCAATATTGCAACTTAGATCCGTCCACAAATGTTAGTATTGTGGTAACAAAAGATCTAGAGCTAAGTTAAAAAGTATGAAACATAATTCTGGTCTATTGGACTGTGACAAACAATGCTGATAATGTCAGGAATGTGGAATTAGCTACCCTAGTGTCACCAACACAAAGATGACATTTACTTTTTTTTTGTTGAGTGATCAGATCATAAATAATCTACTGAAGCTGACATAATAATAATATATACATGATTGTACATGAGGCTATACAGATATCTTGATTCTTGTGCTGCATACTAGTAACCACTTACTTACTACATCTATGATCTATACTATCATACTATAGTGTAGTTAGAGTGGCTACTGCTAAAATTTTGTCAATACATCAAGGTATTACTATTAGTACTTATGATGTAGTCCAGTACATTCACTTTGGGTTGAAGACACAGGCAAGACTTTAAATCATTGATGAAGGTTAGACATCCAGGTAGTAAGAATTATGCAAAAAAAAACAGTTACTCAAGCAATTTGCAACAGGGTATGCTTTTGGAAACAGTCAGATGTATCAGGTAGCATCCACTACCTTTTGTTGGTGAAGAATTTGAATCATTTGCAAATTGATTAGTTGACTGTGACTATGATATTACAATGAATACACTGATGTGATCTAGCAGTAGCATTGAAGTTGAACTGTTTGTGCCAATTAAAATGACCCATTGCTAATACAAGCCTTTCATCTGGCAAACTGACTAAGTTCTTTTCAAACCTCAGGTCACCAAGTTCTATTCATAACTGCCTTGAACAAATAGGTGTGCTGACTCACGTGTAAACATCCATGTGCGTACAAACATTCCTGTTTACTCTGGTGTATGTGCAAACATACCTGATTGCAGATTCGATGACTTAATAGCAATCACAGTATAATGTAGTAATCACTGAGGCTTCTAAAAAAGTTTGGATGTCACATCTAGGATCTAGCAAAGTCTGATATACTAGTATTGTTTCCGGGGGTCTCCCCAGAAATTCTTAGGGGAGAGGTGCTCCGAAATTGGTTGATGAAAAATCAGCATATTTTCATGAAAATACTAAGGGAAAACCCTACATTTGAACATTTGGGAGAGGTGCTAGGATTTTGGAGAGAGGGGGAGCACCCAAGCTTGCTTCATTGCTTGGAGAGAGCCCTGGTTTCAATGTAATGCCTATAAATGCTTACTTGCTTATAAATATAATACTGGTAATAGTACCTTGTTCTTGAAGGAGGTATTGTGTAATGTTGTTACAACATTTTATGGTCACAAAGACTGAAAGAGCTTCAGTCTAAGAGCTCATAAATATGTCTGAGACAAGTAAGAGTAAGAAAGAACATAATTTATGATTATTACCCTCTAAACGTCTAAGGCATATTGACAGTCTTATTTAGCAGTCACCTTATTTCTTATTCTTGATGAGGAATAAAGACAAGTGATACATTTTATCTGACACAATTCGCAGGTCTTTACAAATCCAGCTCTAACACTGACTAATTCTTGGTCATCTCTATTATCAGACTTCAATTATCAAAAACAATTAAGTCCTAATCACTGTTATCACCTTTGTGATTGAAAGAACAACATCAACTTTTGTTTCCATATTAAACCCATCAGGTAAAACTTGTGGCTTTTGCAAGTCAATGGTGTCAAAATACATGTTGTGTATTCAACATTTTTCTTGAAGTTGAAGACAATAAAGAACACTGTTATCACCTTTGCGACCGAAAGAACAACATCAACTTTTCTTTCCATATTAAACCCATCAACTAAAATGTGTGCCTTTTATTTGCAAGACAATGGTGTCAAATATCTTGTGTATTCAACATTTTCTTGAAGACAAAATTACAAACATGTGACTTGTTCACTAGGGTGCCTTCTGTGTATTTTTCTGATAGAAATTACATTTGTATGTAGGTTCTAGTTGATGTCCAAGCAGATGTCATAGGTGCAGGTTTCCCAGACATAACGTCATGCTAACAGTATAATGTATGTTTGGACTACTTGCGTATGTACCATTTATGATGAAGAACTATGCATAGCAACACAAATACATTGATATTATCATAGACATAGAGTTTCACCACAAGTCTGACTGAGACATAATAATTTACTAATAACTTACAAATATTACATTTTAGCGAGCGTCGCGGCTCTCTCCTTCTCGAAATTTGTATCCACTGGAGCCAATATGTTTGCAACCTTCGTAATATTGGCCAGCAGTTTGCTGACCGCTCATGTTTGTTGTGTATTGTTATGTGAATGCAGGGTGGATAATACCCATATCATTGAATCCTTTCCCCACAAAGAGGGAAGACAGACCATTTCAAATATACAACTTCCCAATTCCATTTTTCCATCTATTACTGGTATTAACTCGTCAGACTGGAAAGATTCCAATCTGTTTCCACTTGTTTCTTTCATTATCAACCATAACCATAATCAGAATTGGATTCTTTTAAGGAAACCAAAGGCTACTGTGTTATATATTCTTCTTCTTATACTACGGGGTGGAGACATTCAGCCCAACCCTGGCCCACGAGCTCCGAAGTACCCTTGTGGCGTGTGTCGCAGAGCTGTTAAATGGGAGAAGGTTGATGGGCGCAGGGCAGTCTGTTGTGACACGTGTGACACCTGGTATCACACAGACTGTATGGGCATGTCGACACCAGTGTATAACGCTATTAATCGCCCTAACATATCATGGATCTGCTGTAGTTGCGGTCTCCCTAACCTTGGCTCCAGCTTGTTTGATTCTACTATATTTGAAACCTCAAACTGTTTTGCTTTTCCGACATCTGATTCTAGCCCCTGCTCCTGCTCAGGGAGTTCTGTAGGCTCACCTGTAGCCTCATCTACCCCGACTAGCCAAGTCCCTAACCACCCACCGAGGGACCGATCACGAGGTAAACCCCTCAGAGCTGCAGTTGTTAACTTTCAGTCAATACGAAACAAGACCGCAGAATTTCAGGTCTTCTGTGATACGGTGGACCCTGACAT